TTTATAATCTGCAAGCTTAATGACTGTGAAGAGTATTTTTAGAGTATATTTAACTACTGAATTTTTGAGAAAGTTACTGCTCGGAGAGCTTTCTCTTTATTTTTTCATAGTTCCGAACGCACTACTTCTCTAATCTACTCTGTCCTGAGAAATAGTACTTTCATGTTTTCTTAGATTTGTTACAGAAGTTAAAATGTGTTAGAAGTGGTTTTCCTAAAAATACGGATGACATGCTTTATGAAGTTACCTCTATGAGAATAAATTTTTGGAGAGGAATTACCTTAAGGATATGCATATGTTTTCCTCTTCTCTTAGTATGTATCATACTTGCCTGCATTTTTCTTGTGGAGCAGTTCTAGACTGCAACATTTTGAATACTTTTGTTTTTAAGCATTGCATGTGACTCACTTTTCTTTGTATCAAGTATACTGTACTCTAAGTTTTGGTCCCTCAACAAACCTTTCCATGCTTGTACCAAGAGTTGCATCTGCTTCTAATTGTGGCCCTCAGGGGCTTAATTGGTTCTTTCTGAATCTTGTTATAAAAAGCTTTCTTTTAAGAGATGTATAGACAGACTTACGTGATCTCAAATGATGCAAAAGTAGTCAAATAAGTCAAATGTCACAAGTTACGTCTAGCAATGTGTGCATGAGCTGCAGCCTCGCAGCGGTGTGAAGTTCACACCTGGGAGACGTACTTTCCAATGCTGTCGGATATTTAGCAAAGGAATGTTCAAGCGTTACTGGCACGTGCTAAGATGTACTTTTGTAAGAAATGTCTGTCCTGGATGCAGTAGGCATAGGAAGAAGTGATGCTTGTACGTGCATATATATCTATTTACACATGCAACGCACAAACTATTTTATGTGTGCACTTAACAATTTCCTCTTACTACCACATTTACTTAGAATTGGTGCAAAGCATTTGTCCCAAAAAGTCTGTTAGAAAAAGAAAATGAGGAGAAACTCAGTAGTTCCTCAGCCGGCTATAGCAACAGCTATTTCTGAGTGATTCTCATCCTCTCACCCATAAAATCAGCGTAAAATTGACCTAACATTGCCAGATCAGATGGGGTACCTGGAAAGTAATCCTCAGGGAAAAGAAAATTCAGTCTTCGTAAATCTGAAGTGCATAAAGTTGCAGAATTGGATTATTCTTTCTCTTTCTATTTCTAAATCAGTACCCTTTTTTTCCTTCCTTTGCAGCACTTGTGCAAAGTTGCCACAAAGATGTGTCAGATGCTGCCTGAGCCTAGCTCCAAAAGCAGAAACAAATATAACCTTTTGAAAAAAGCCCAGTCCCCAACTTGGATAATTATCATAAAATCCCAAGGCTTTTTGTAGGTGTTAGGGTTTGGTTTCAGAGAGTGAAGACATAGAAAGAGTATAGTAACCTTACTTTTTGAAGCACAAGTCACATCAGATTTTCTTACTTAATAAATGTATGGCAAGTACCTACTAAAATAACCGGCTAAAAGCCAGTAATAACAACTGCAAAACCCAGCTCAAAGCAGTTGGACAAGTCTTGGAGGCGTATAATTTTTGCTGAATGTAGCACTGAATGTTTTTCTTGAATTGAGCTAGGAATATTTTTTTAAATGTTGGATCTTTTTTGTTTTCACGAAGGAGTATTAAGAGCATTAATGTGCCTGTTTAGATCACATGCATTTCATTATCCTCTCATGATATAAATATCCTTTCATGATATGGAAATAAATGTTATTATACCTGTAGTTCAGTGAACTGGAATTTACTTTAGAGTTGTTTTTATTATTTCAAATGAGACCAAAGTAGTACAAGAGTGCCCTAATAATACAAAGTGAAGATAGCAAATGGAGCAGGACACTAAATTATAGTCGCAGGTTTTATATCTGTTAGCATATCAGGGCACCAAAAGAAGTTATTGGAGCTGTTGATCTTGTTGCCAGTAGGTAAAGGGTGCTCCTCTGAAATGCTGTTCAGCTCCATTGGCACGTCACTGAGATGTGAAGATAGTACCCATTTTGTGACCCCAAGCCCCAAGTTACCTAGAGCCAAGTCTTGCTTAATTCTGAGATTATACTTTGCTCCTGATTGTGACCTTTTAAAATTACGCTTGGAGGTTTTGCTATTGCGATCTGCTTCCTTTTTTGAAGCCTGAAAGTTATACTTCCACTAAGAACAGCGAAAGAAATTACATTTCTTTCCCATTTAGAAGTTTATACATTAAGCATTTTACAAAGTATCAAAAAACCCTGTGATTTTGTTACTGTGTTGCTAAAGCATTCAATATGCTAAATGTTTCTCATGTAACTGTACTTCACATCTGCCAAAATAATCTGTGCGGTTTCATTGCTAGGAAGAGGTGAGCTTGCCAAGTCCGCTCCTCCCTGGCGATGCTCCGCCAGCCTGTCTTACTGCAGAACGGTCTGCGCACCTATCTGCAGACAATAACCCTCGAGTTTTGCAATAGAAGCGACTATAAATGGTACAGCAAGACTTGGGAAGTTCTGAAGAAGAAATAGGTGATAAGAAACGGAACTAGACACAGCTAGTAATCGGCTTGTATTTCACGAGGTCTAGCAAATGCTTAAGGCCGGATTGCTGCCGGGTGAAGCAGTCCTGCTTTCTTCTCACCGCAACTCCCCATTCCCCGTTTTTAGTTCTTCCTTTTTTTCTGGCACAAAATCAAGGGTGTTGGGGAACTGATCTAGTTGGCGCTGACCTGAAAAATTCCAGACAGTTGTTTCGATCTTGGTCAGCTCCCTCCTCTTGTTCAATGCATAGCCATGAAAGAGTCTGCACCAGCAGGAGAGAGACGATGGTACAGGATCACCAACAAGTAGCTGGTAGCGGGAGTGCAGGAGGATTGCTCTTTTGCAGAGAAATTTATGCTTGAAACATTTGTGGACATACGACCTTAGGTTTGCAAGCTCTTTTAAGGTATTTTTTGGATTCTGCACAATTTCCAGGGATTTTTAGCAAGTAATTTATGAATTACTTAACACTGAGTATTTGATGTCTGTTACCATGCTTGCTGCTCCTTGAATTTATCAGAGATCACTGTTGATACATAATTACTTTCTTTTTCATGATACTAAATTGGAATTAAAATAAGAGATCCCTTACACTGTATAGGCACTGAGATAGTCAAACTCCTCGTGTATCTGGTCATTACACAGATGTGTTTGTGATTTAAATACACACAAAATAGATGGGAAAAAAGGTCTCTGTTTTAAGGAACTATATTTATTGGTTCTCATATTTTTGTAAACATAGGATCTTATCTCTTGTTTCATGTCTGCCTGCCAAAGTTCTTGCTCCCCATAGTAGATGGAGAGAGATTCCTTGTGCGAAAGACATACATTTTCATAAATAATAGCTGCAGAAGCCTCTCCCCAGATGTTCTTAGGAGCAAAGATGTGTTTGTCCAATAAGAAGAGTCAAATGGCCACATTTTTATCTAAAATCTCAATTAGATTTGAATTAGATTAGAAAATTAGGTCTAAATTAGGTTGAGTTGATTGACAAGTTGAATTTTGCAACACGTTCGAAATGTATGTTCCACTGTTGGTTTAACATCTGGCCTGGGTGAAGGAGGAGTACTGGCCTCAGCCTCCAGCTCCTTGTGAGTGGGCCAGTGGCAAACGCGGGCGCAGCAGCTGCGTTGTTGAACAGTAGGATTTGAAATAAGCAGCTGGGAATGAAAATACCATGAATGGCGTTTCCCTTCCATTAAAGCTTCAATTTGTAGCAGCAAACATATGTGGGAGGATGAAGAAGAGTAGAAACCTCTGTACTTTGCCAAAAGTGGAGAACCTTCCAGGCCTGATGTAAAACGTAGCAATAAGAAGGAAGTTTCTGATTTATCAGACAGTGCCAGCATTAGAGACTGAAGTGGAAATCCAAATAGGTTTCCCAGATCTTGGCTCCTCAGAAGACAGGAATCCCAGCAGCTCCCGAGGTGGCCGAGAGGTTGCAGTTCTCATCAGGCAGTGCCCCCCGGCGCTTCCCGGCGGGTTTCTCCGTTGGATTTGCTGCCCTCTGGCACCCAGAGCTGTCGTCGGCCGCGCGGTCGGCGGCGGGAGGGTCTGCCTGACGTTGGCTGGGACACGAGCAGAAATCAGAGAGCTCTCCCTCTAGTCCAGGCTTTGGCACCGACCTGGGTCTCCCTTGCAGAAAGACGGCTAAGTTCACATTTAGCACATGGACAAATGCTGCTGCTAATGGGTTGTGTAGAAGCGCTGTGAAGCTTCGTGAGTGTTTGTGATACAGTTTAACAGTAGCACCTGGGGAAGGTTTTGTGTCACAGGAGATTAAAAGCTTTGGGATGAAGGGCGTAATTCGGTTTTTGTTGAAAGGTTATGGTTCAGGTCTTTGTGTTAGATGCCTTCAAAATAATGTTAATTGTACACTAATATATAGCCTAAATAACACTGATTATTTTGATAATTAACAGTTTATGATAGGTGAATGAAAACTTTAAGATATTATTGAAATGCTGATTTTAAATGGCTCTGAACAGAAAATATTCAAACGTGCTAGCTCTTCTAAACTCTACCTTGAGAGTGCTGGTTACATTGGTGCTATCTTTAAAATCACAAATGACACTTTTCCATACCTCATAGAGGTCTTTTTTTCCCCCTTCTTACCATTTTACATCTGTTTTTCCTTGGATGGAAAGAGGTTTTATATTACTTTATTTCTTAATTAACTTAAAATGTGAAAATTGAACATGTGCTTAAAAAATAAAGTACTCAAAGGCTAAAAAGAAAGAGCTGAATGTGAAAATAGTTCAGTACATTATACCTGCTACCATATGTAAAACAATAAACATATAGTTTCATAAATATGAAATAAGTCTTTTTAATAATCCAGTATCTTCCTTAGTTTTTAGGTACATTTTTGCACTTGCCTCAAAGCTTGACGCTAAGCTGACCCTCTCTTTTAATATTAATGTACTCTGACTGTAATACTCTGTTCCTTTGCCTCTGATTAATGCTGTCTGTCAATTATTTACAGATCCAGTGGTACTGTGGAAGTTCCCGGAGGACTTTGGAGACCAGGTTGGAAACACGAGATTGAACTTTTTTTTATGTTAGAATAATAATAAAAAAGCTCTCCTATTCAGCTGTGGAGAGGCAGATGCTAATGATAGTGGGGAGGAAGTCTTCACCCAACTGGTGGCTTGGTGATTAGAATGCCTTTGTGACAGGAATATGCAATAGCAGTTGTAGAGCACTGTACATCATACTAATTCTCTGTATCACCTTATTTTCCATACGGAGTATTTTATAAGCTGTTTCTGTTGGAAGTGCTGGGTTTTTATCTGTTGTAGGATTGAAAATGTGGAAAATTTATCAACAGAACTTTGCCAAACATTGATGTTATAAATTGTGTTAACAAAAACCACCAGAACAACAAAGTTGAGAGGCTGCACATGTATGTCCTTTTAATGTCAGAATCTGTGTGTCCCCTTCCTTTAATCCTTTACAATGCAAAATTTTGTATATTTATTTAATAATATTTTAGAGATACCCTAGTTATTTGCTTGGGGGAAAAAAAAAAATCCTTAGACCCTTATAAGAGACCATGATCTAAACTTATTGATTTTGAAAGGATTAAAATCCTAGTTTCTATCTATAATCAATTCTCAAAGGAAAGTTTATACATACAGGACTGATGGATTATTTCACTGTTTGTAGTGATAGCAAAGCTATTAATTGGTGTGTTGGGTTTTTTTCCCCTGGACTATTTTATTAAAGTTATTAATATTTAACATTTAATGAAAGTATTACATTTTATTATTTCAGCAACTTTTAGAGGAGTTTCTTCCATGGAAATATTTTTATTTTCATAAACAAAAAAACATAAAAACACTAAATAGAATAAATATCTCTGACTCAATGTCTCTCTTTGCTCTTCTTTTTAGACTGATACTGAGTCAAACATATTCTTCATTGGTAATATCACCACAATGGATGATCTGGAAGTATTTTTGTACAGTAGATCTTCATAAATTGTGATTTTTTTTTTTTTTTTTGTTTTTAAAAATCAATAATACGAGATTCTGTAAAGACAGCTATAAGGTGATTCATGATGAAAGGAATAAATATACAAACATAGAAGGCAGGATGTCTGGTTAGGGAATAGCATCAGTCAGAAACATGCAGTTTATAAGATAGTGATAAATGGTACATGAGCAAAGTGTGCTGTTATATGTTCTTAGCTAGACATCCAGCAAGTTTTGATAATTTTCCTGGCTGCAGAATGATTATCTTCATTGTTATTTAAATTCTTTTTTTTTAGTTTGTTTTGTTCTTTTTCTTTTCCCTAAGAAAGACTTGATCTTAAAAAAGAAAAAAAAAAAAAAGAGAAATTATGTATGAAGAAAAATGGGAGCTTATTCAGTAAGTCGAAGGTTATTCAAAGAACAGCTGGTGTAGAAAAATGATTAGAAGATGAAGCCCACTAAAGACTGGAGGAGAATCATACAAAGATGCCACAGACATACCTAATCTATAAAAACCAGAGTCCTCAGGCAGCACTCTGCCTTTGGGCTCTGAGAAACCTACGCCTGCACATTGTGTCTCAGCAGTGTAGGGAAAAAGGGAACCTAGTGTTTCAGGTAAATTGCTTGTGTTCCTGGAAAACAGTTATGTTTTAATCCTCATCCTTGCAAGGGAAATCCTATTAGAACCACTGGATTTGAACAGAATGCATAGCAGCTTCTATAGCAAACCCCTGAGCCAAGTAGTCAAGTGAAATCAGCAGAAGCCTTCTGTGCCCGTGTGTGTGTGCATGTTGAACTCGGTAGGTTTGGATTGGAGACCTGAATATCTACCAGATTTAATTATTTTTAAAAAATGAGATCTCACTAAAACTGTCAAGGCTAATTTCAATGAACGTTTGTGGGGAGAATATTAAAAAAAAAAACAACAAAACCCCAAAAAGACAAAACAAAAAAGACAAAACAGAAAAAGAATATTCTCCATCCTATTTTCCAGTCATTTCTGTTTTAAATATAAAATGTGTGAGCTAGTTTTTGGATGTATCCCAAAGAATCATCTTTCCTAAATTCTAAGGGCTGTCTGTTTGCACAGTGATGTGATAACAGTGGGCAAAATATTTTCCTCTCTTCCTGAATATTTCTACAGTTTATCATGTCACCTTTTTGTTGCTTTCGTAATGCAAAGAAAACTTGCCTAAGCCATTTTGATATATTCCTCCTCTCTCTCACATTCGTCCTCTCAGTATGCCTGAACTTTCCAATGCTTACTCATCCCTAATCCTCTCTCTTCTTCTCATGGCCTACCATTTTCTTTTATGCTGGGCAATATTCTTCTTTTGGTCTCTTTTCTTCTTCAATGTCGACTTTCCAAAATCTTGTTTTGCAAAAGATCCCATCTGTTTTGGATGGGATGTAGAAACTACAGATGATCAGGAAAAAGAAAAGATTAGTGATTTGTCATAATCACTTACAGTCCATTTAAAGGAACTATTAAGGCGCAGTTTTCGTACCACAAAAGAATTTGCAAGATTCATTGTTGATTTCCTTATCTGTCAAGACTGCAGGGAAACCACTTATTTTCTATCTGGTAATTCTTCAGATGCCAGAATAAGGAGGAAAAGGGAAAAACACAGAATGGGGAAAGAAAAAAAAAAAGTAATGCTTCAAGGCAGGAAATGAAAAATACTTCTTTTTGCCAGGAGTATGTCAGAAAGTTGTTTTTGGTTTTGGGGTTTTTTTTGTTTTGGTTTTTTTTTGATGGTGTGAGTAATTAACTTTCTAGTGACTTTCAAATTAAACAATGAACTCATGCCAGGTAGAATTCTAAGCACAAAGAACCACCATTTAAAAGAAAATCTTTATTAAAAAGTACCCCAAAAGCCAAAAGAACTAACCCATTTGAGACATCATAGAGTTACAATTTACTGTTGTACTGGCATTAATGCTATAAACATGAGTTTGACAATGTTGAAAAAGTTCTGAATGATCTCAGCACTGTAGAAAAAATGTGAAGATTCCTGATTTGAGCATATATAGCTCTTCTGTGGTTATCCTCACAAGCTCACATTTGGATGAGGAATGGGTTGTAGCCATTTAACAGAATATTTTTTTTTTATTTAAAATATATTTTGAATGTATATGCCTACAGGCTCTGTCAAAACTCCCCTTGTGCTCAATGAAATTTTTATGATAAAAGATGCATATGTTTTTGATATTGAAATTCCTATTTTGTTTATTCAGACTGGTTAGACTAGAGTTTAATTTCAGCCTTGCAAGCTCATTTTCAAGTGGAAGTCTATACAGAGAAAATAATAATGCTATGATATCTGGAAAAAAAAATCTGATGGTTTTTAAAAAGAAAGTATTTTTTTAATATAGAGAAGCAGCCCAAATAAAAACATCACTTTTGCTTCCAAAATGAAATACTTCATAACTGTTAAAAAGAAAACGTGTATCTCTGCAAAAATTAATGTCACCCAGCAGAACTGAGATCTGCTGATGCTGGCTGTCTCCTCAAGGCAGTGGAGTCAGTGGCAAAACCCTATTGATGTCAGATGCATCCAGATGCCTCCAGAATGCCTCTATTCGTAACTGTTCTGGAAATAAAAACACTCAAGCTCCCAGTAACTGCATTGGATTGAAACATTCCTGGGAAAAGGAATAGTGTTGGCACAAGGAAGGACGAGAGCACAGCGCCGATAGCACCAGCAGGTGCTAGTGGCTCTGCCAGAGGCAGTGCTGCTTGCTGTGTTGTCTCAACCGTTGAAGCATGTGAAGTCTAACATTTCTGACAAAGTGAGTACTTACAACTATTTTGGATATTGTTTTTAGCTGTGTAAGAATTCAGTTGCTTTTTAATCTGTTGCTTATTGGCCCAATTGATTTCCATCTGCAATAGGTCCCAGAGTATATGGTGTACAGAAAAACTGATCCATTGAATAGTTCTTATTCTTCTCCCTTCTAATCACATAATAATTTCTTTCTTTAGTCTGCCACTTCTCTGCTGGTGAAAAACATCTCACCAAAAAGATGATACAAACAGCTAATATGGCAGGAGACAGTCTTACCCAGAAGCCACTTTAGCAATATGAAATATGACAACGGGTTGTTGACTGAAGATGTGGGTTAAGAAGGAATTGAGACTCTGCGTTAGATTGTTCGTTGTGTTGCAGATTTCATTCTGTCTTCTCTGGCTCTCTGCTTTCTAAGGCAAGCAGACTACATCTGCTTTTTCATGTCAGGCTTTTCCCAAACCCTGCAGATGAGTAACCAGTAAGGGATATGGCATCCCATGTGAGGAATCTTTAGTGTTTTCTATGAAGTTACTGTAACGCCCTTTATGTTATTATCTCATATTTTATATTATAATATCTGGTTTTTATTTTGAATGTATCACATTATGCAAAAGTCACCACTGATTGTGAGCAATAAACCTTACTCCTTATCCTGTAGTGACCCAACTACTAAAGCCTGATATTATACATGTAAATCTATCAGATTCATGTGAAAATATTTGTATATATAAAAAAATATGTAGACACACATGCACGTGTGTAAACATCAGTTGTTTAAGGGATAAATCCTATGAAGTACTAATACATTACCTCAGCAAAGCACTGATCGCACACTTACTTTCAATGTATGTGTTAACTATTGAAGGTTAAGCCTGGCTTAAATGAATGTCTGATTAGAGTCAAAGTGCTCAGTTTCTTGCAGGATGGAATATTTAATTGCATGGATCGTGGCAGCAATTATATAAATGAGGTCAATATAAAAGAGATTATATTCTTTTTCTAAAGATTTAAATAATAGCACAAGTTTTATTTCAAAAAAAAAAAATCTCAAGAAGCAAGCTGAAGTCTGTTGTCTGGGTCAAAATAATGTGTGGAGGCCAGTTGTGACGATTTTGTGTTTCTCTGTGCTCTCCTAAGAGAGCAGCAGGAACCCGGGAGGTACGAGACTGTTCACACTCTTTTCAAGGCTGCAGGCATGCTGTTAGGGGATACATCTCACCGGCTTTCTGCATTTGATGGCTTTGTTCTTTTATTCTGATGA